AACAGCGCTGTATGACTACCACTGGTCTAGCGCTTTTTTTTTATGATAATTTGTTTATTAAGAGCCAAGTGTAAATGTGTGTGAATGGATTTATACTGTACAATACTTGTTAAGGTTTAATGCATTGCTTTTTCACTATTTGTTTCAATTATTTTTGTTTTTAATGCACTCTACTTATGGATCTATATTTCTCTCCTTTAGTCCATTTACTGAGCATAAATTAGTATATTTTTATCTTTCAACAGTACAATGATCTCATTTGTTTACCTGCAAATGGTGCTATAGAATTTACATTTATGTATAATAGATTTTTACGAGCTGGTGAGTAAAGTCTTTAGTATTATCCATTTTTAAGTTATCTGTGACACCAAATAAGGCGATATGACTTTAAATGTGATATTTTGCACATATTTTCCTGAAAATGCTATAATGTCACCAAATCTGATATGAGCACACTATCACATATCTTGCTAGTGTAAAGCTTGCACTGCCTTCCTCTTCTTTACACTAGTTCATATTACCTCGGCCTATTTGTCCACATTAGATTTGAAGCACTGCTCTTCTTGACCTCTAATCGTCCAGGTGACAGGATGTTTTTGCCGTCTTACTACTGAGAGAAACTCTTTGAGCTATCTTATAATTGGACCCTCCACTGCCATCCAGTAGTGTTGCAAAGATTCTTGTAAAGGTCACTAGGTACCTGTGTTCACTAAATAGTGTTGACTTGATCAGCAGTCCTCAAAGCCTTCTGTCATGTATGAACCTCTTGCTGAAGCACATATTGCTCAATGATTGGTACCCATAAAACTTACAATTCACAAGTTAATTTTTGAATGTCATTTTTGGCATGTCAAGTGCAAAGTAAATGTGCTATCTCTATGAAATGTTTAATATAAAGTTATCCATATAACTTAAAGAGTAGTAGAGATGTGTTATTCCATTGTGGACAGCAATATGGACTATACCAATAGAGTGGTCATTTAATGTAATTAGTGTTATGCATATATTTCATCTTTCACTGTCTGCTAAATATCAGCAGATATATACAGAGTTCTCTCCAGTATGAATCTCAAGTCTAATGATCTCAGATGTTTTTCCTCACAAACTTTGTATGTATTGTACTGATAGTGGACACACAAATGTGAGAGCGAGTGCTTTATTTATGTACTTATGTGGCGCAATAAACTCCACTGGTATCTAAAGGCACTTTAATTCACACCTCTGCATTCGACATTAAGTGGATAGTGCTCTGTAGTGCTGTATTAATTTCTTATTTTATTCCTTTAAGCGAAATGCTTTCACACTAGTAAATCCTCTTGATCCAGGGAATAGGAGCTATCCTACACTTCTTGGATCAAACTTTATATTAGGCACTGTATAACCCCTATGGGTGTAGCGCTTTTTCATTGAATATAATACCATGCTTTCCAGCATATAAAGCTGGCATATTCTGGGAAAAATATAATTGCAGTGCTTGCTTCAAAAAGACAGTGAGCCAGTGACAAACTGCATATGCACACAGTATAACTTGAAGGGTTGAGACCTCGCACCCCTCAAGGAAGGTTCCTTGATGTTGGTGAGGGGCTCTTGATTTAGGGAATTGGATCTGTGCTCCAGTTCCCCGAATTAAGCCTGAATGCCTTCCACATCCCCCCAGGCGCTGTATAATCCTCTGGGTTTAGCGCTTCCCCCTTGATTATAATAATAATACAACTGCTAAAGATGGTGTGTTTATCATGTCCCAGTAATATGTAAATTTTGATTTATAATAGTTATTAATTACTCTTACTCAAACAATCTGGGAAGCAGTAACGTCCTAAGGTGAGGGGTTTTGGAGTTCAGTCTACCAGTACCTCAGGACTGCACCACTTGCCAGTAACCCAAAGCCTACGTTTGTTCATGACCTTGAGTATATAAAGCTACTGGGGGGGAGTAGTGCCTTTTATGCCGGAAAATACGGTAATAGATTTTATTTGGAGAGTGTCTTTATGACAAAATGGCTCGTGCTCCAAGGCAGTGGAGCTACCATCAACTTCGTTGTAGTAAACGTGATTACCTCTCAGTCCCTAAGTGCTGAATAATTCCTATTGGTTTAACACTTCCTCGTACATACATGAAATAAATTGGCAATTACACTGAACTGATGTACAGGCAGGTCTTACCTTCTACTACCCATGTTCACCTCTGTGTAAATGGGTACTGTACCTGGTGTTAACTATTGGAGGTTGTCCTAGAGAAGGGTACAGTATACTGATAGTATAACATGGGTATACCGAATATTTAGGGTATAGCATTATACCAATCAGAACTAGGTGCTAAACCCACAAGGGTTATACGGAATTTTAGGGTATAGTATGCCTTAAGATATGCCGATAATATACCTTAGGGTATATCGACAGTATACATTAGGGTATACCAATAGTATTTAGAATAAACAGGAAGTATACCTTAAGGTACACTGGAGGTATACCTTAGGGTATACTGGTGGTGTATCTCATGGTACTGGTAGTATAACTTATAGTACAATAGCAGTATATCTTTGGGTATACTTATAATGTACTTGGGGATATTGTTAATGTGGAAATTTTTTACATTTCCTAAATGTAGAACATATAAATGAATTATATAATAATTGTGTAAGGGGGGTGTAGAATAGCTGCTAAGTGATGCCGGGAAGACGCCATATTGAATTTAATATGTGAACACTGGACTGAGTTGTGCAATGTAATCAGGTGTTCGCGAAGGTCAATTGGGGTTTTTCGGTTTGAATTTGTAATTAGGAACCCATGTTAATGTCCCCTGCTGAAGAACTGGGACAGGAAATTTGCGGGACCTTAAGAAATGCGTGTGGATGGCGGAAGATAAGGGATGTAAACATCACTCACAGGGAAATGCACCATTAGTCCTTACATTTAGATCTCTAGCTGGCCAGTGTAGGGTCTAGGTGTTGGGCAGGTGTTGTGGTGTGATCCATCTACAGTAAATAAATGGTAAATGTTAATACCAATTATATTTTGTGTACCTAGCAAGCCTAATTTTATACAGTCCACAACTTTAATTTACCAGAGTAAGAGGTTTTAATATAAATATTAATATAATGTCAGGTCTAGCTTTTTGTGAAAGTGGTGAGGAAGTGGGCATTGAGGGAGTTACAGTTCAGTGACCTGCTGTAACTTAAGTCCCACTTATCTCACCCAAATTACTTGCACGTAATAATTCAGGTAATGCCCTATAAACCTCATGCAGATAATTTGCTCACATAATTTTCACAGTTAGCATATCTTAGGGTATACACATAAATGTACAGAGAACCTTCATGGCACATATAAGTAGGCGTTTTACCTAAATTACTGGGAACAGTTGAAAGTTCCTCGACCTGTACTCCCTGGAATGCAGGCGGGAGAGATACATGTATATGTATATACTAGGAAAATCCTAGAGGGATTAATACCAAATTTGAACACAAAAATCTCTACCTATGAAAGCAAAAGACTCTGCAGGCGATGCAACATCCGCCCATGAAAAGCAGGGGCGCCACTAGCACGTGGCTGTTCAACTGCCTCCCAGCATACGTAAGGGGGATTACCAAGACTCCTGGCTGTCTTCAAGAAGGCTTTGGACCGGCACCTAAAGTCAGTAACTGATCAGCCGGGCTATGGTTCGGACGTCGGTTTACGTGCGGCCAACAGTAACAGCCTGGTTGATCAGGCCCTGATCCACAATGAAGCCTGGTCACAGACCGGGTCGCGGGGGCGTTGACCCCCGAAACCCTCTCCAGGTAGCGTATACCGGTAGTATACCTTAGGTCACGCTGATGCTACACCTCAGGGGTACTTAGGGTACATTCATAATATACCTTAGGATATACTGATAATTTACTTTAGGTATACTGATAGTATACCTTAGGATACAATGGCAGGAATATCCTTGGGTATACTGGTAATATACCAGAGTATGCTGGTAGTATATCTTAAGGCTGGGCGCTGGAATGAGCTAAGCATATAATAGCTTGGACTAAATATTTTAATACTTATATAAAAAAGTAGCCATGAAAGTAGTCGGTTAAAGTGAAGGAAATAGCTCTGCTGGAACCGTTTTTTTTTCTGAACAAATATTTAAGGGAAATGGCTGCCTTGATGCCCTAATTTGTCTGAAATTAGGCCATAAATGCTTCTTAATAATTCTCGACCCCTCAAGGGAAGTGTCTATTGATGATGATGGGTTCTCGATCCATGAAATTTGACCTGTTGTCCCATTCCTTGGATCAAACCTGATTGCCTCCAATTCCACATATGCTGTATGACCTCTATGGGTTTAGTGTTTCCCCCGTAAATATATTTATGTATATTATAATAATTATCAAGTACTACACGTAAATATTATTTATGAACATCAAAAATGGGGTCAGTTGTATAGCAATTTAAAGATTAAATGACCAAATTAAGGAAAATCAGGACCTCGATTGATATGCCTTGTTTGCCGGTGAGAATCATTTGATCCAAGGAACTGGATCGAATTCGATTGTTCCCAAATTATCAACCCTTCAAGGTTGGTGCCCAGATTCTGGTGAAGGGCTTTTGATCCACGGAACTGGATCTATTCTCTGATAAAACCTGATTGCCTATCATTCTCCAGGCGCTGAATGAACATAAGCGGTTTTAATGTTTCGCAAAATATAAATAATAACAATTACCTAATGTTAAATGTTGCTTGTCTGAAGTCTGGCAATACGTTATTTCCGAAAATACAAGAAAGCTATTTATACCTTGAAAAAAATAATTGTTTCGTATGCAAACTGTTATTTTCGTAAATATTAGAAAAACAATAATCCCTTTATAAGTCCTAAGATATATCTTAGAATGTGTCACATTTAGTCACGTGAAAACACCAATTAATTACTAGCATTCAGTCACGTGACCAGCCTTTCCAATCACAGTTAATCACGTGACCTAACCTAACCAATCACAGCCCTCCTACACGAAGACCTGTCATTCCAAAAACATATCTGGACCTGAGCGAATGTATCTCAGCGTGAGTCATGTTAATCTCTGTTAATTAACTTTTAACGACATAATTTACGAGTCTAGAGACCAAGATACACCTGTATCAGAGTTACTACTTAAACACCCAGTGAGTCTCTTCCACAAATTACGTAGTTTATTAAAACGGAATGCTCTATGACCAGGTTTACCCCATAATTTGAATATATTATTATTATTGCTGTTATTACTATTATTACTATTATTACGATTATTATTATTACTATTATTATTATTACTATTTAAATTTATGCAAAATGGACCTAAGCGTTCTTGGTTTCAGGTACCTCGCTGTCATTCACCACTTCTAGAAAGCAGTACCATGTGAGTACCACCACAATATTAAGTTGGGTATGTTGAGTTAGGTTGGGTTGGTGGATCTGGGCTGCACTTGCACTCAGGGTCTCCATAAGGCATGATTTTTCCTTAGACTTTGCCATTACGTTGCTTGTGTTAGTTTGGCTTGGGTTGAGCTATGATTCATTATAATGGTTAAGTTGGCAGCAACTTCAGTAACGATCTTTTTATAAATACTGAAAGAGACAAGAAATACTCGAAAAACATTTTCAATTTGCAAAAAATAAATTTTATTTACCTTGCACAAACCAGTCTTTATTACACACTTTCCATTAATTTTTGAGAAGCTCAGTGGAGCCCATAAAATCAATATTTACCGTTATTTGCTCCAACTTGTAAAATATAGTATCTACTCTGTAGACTACGATTTTTTTTTTTAATATCGACCTGCATAAGAAATAACTGTAATAGTTAGGTTTGCTATTAGGTCAATTTCTGTGCACCAGAAATGATGGTAGTTTTTTGTTCATATCTCTCAAAATAATAATTTGCATGAAAAATACTTATTTTTTTATGTACATAAGTTGCCTGTATTGTAAAATGTAAACATGCCCGAATTCCGCCGGGTAGTAGTACGTAACTAAATTTAGCCAAAACATGTATTTATTCCGTGGGGTGAATAACTTGTATGTATCGTAAAATATACAATAATGCCTGAGTTTCGCCGTGGACCAACATTCAGTAATATCCGATATAATTTTTGCCTGAGAGTTCACCATAGTTTTAAAAAATATGTTAAATTTAATGGAACAGGTTACAGCCTAAAACCCTGATAGACTTTACAAAATTCCAGTGTAGTTTTATTTTTATTTGTGAAGCGCAAACCCGCAGGGGTTATTCGGCGCAAATAGTGATGGAGGCTCGATCCGCAGTCTACTGATCGTGAGACACGCTACCTCCCTTTAAATAACCCATGCATGGGAAACAATGAACGATAACTCATTGGCGTTTCTTAGAAAAATAATACCGTGGTGTATTGATTCCTTGCCACTAGAAATAACGTTTTCAGTAGCAAAATGTCCAAAATTGAGCAAACTTCGGGTTGAATATACAGGTGGTGTTACCAACAGCAATTTTAACTTTCTATAATGCAGACATCAAACACATGATTATTATACACATAAATGTACAACGGTGATAAATTATGCAAATTTTACCTAGAATAATCCAATAAAACCAAATACTTATCAAAGCCAAATATATATTGTTAGTGTTACATCTGCAAACAGTCTATAAACCTGCCCATATTAGGCAGGTTCATAGGCCAGTTAGCTCATACCAGGCAGGTTCATAGACCTAACTCATACTAGGCATGTTCATAGACCTGACTCATACCTAGGCAGGTTCATAGACCTGACTCATACCTAGGCAGGTTCATAGACCTGACTCATACTTAGGCAGGTTCATAGACCTGACTCATACCTAGCCAGGCTCATAGACCTGACTCATACCTATGCAGGTTCATAGACCTGATTCATACCTAGGCAGGTTCATAGACCTGACTCATACCTATGCAGGTTCATAGACCTGACTCATACCTAGGCACGTTCATAGACATGATTCATACCTATGCAGGTTCATAGACCTGACTCATACCTATGCAGGTTCATAGACCTGACTCATACCTATGCAGGTTCATAGACCTGACTCATACCTAGGCAGGTTCATAGACCTGACTCATACCTAGGCAGGTTCATAGACCTGACTCATACCTAGGCAGGTTCATAGACCTGACTCATACCTAGGGGAGGTTCATAGACCTGACTCATACCTAGGGCAGGTTCATAGACCTGACTCATACTAGGCAGGTTCATAGACCTGACTCATACCTAGGCAGGTTCATAGACCTGACTCATACCTAGGCAGGTTCAATAGACCTGAAATCATACCTAGGCAGGTTCATAGACCTGACTCATACCTAGGCAGGTTCATAGACCTGACTCATACCTAGGCAGGTTCATAGACCTGACTCATACCTAGGCAGGTTCATAGAACCTGACTCATACCTAGGCAGGTTCATAGACCTGACTCATACCTAGGCAGGTTCATAGACCTGACTCATACCTAGGCAGGTTCATAGACCTGACTCACACCTAGGCAGGTTCATAGACCTGACTCACACCTAGGCAGGTTCATAGACCTGACTCACACCTAGGCAGGTTCATAGACCTGACTCATACCTAGGCAGGTTCATAGACCTGACTCATACCTAGGCAGGTTCATAGACCTGACTCATACCTAGGCAGGTTCATAGACCTGACTCATACCTAGGCAGGTCATAGACCTGACTCATACCTAGGCAGGGTTTATAGACCTGACTCATACCTAGGCAGGTTCATAGACCTGACTCATACCTAGGCAGGTTCATAGACCTGACTCATACCTAGGCAGGTTCATAGACCTGACTCATACCTAGGCAGGTTCATAGACCTGACTCATACCTAGGCAGGTTCATAGACCTGACTCATACCTAGGCAGGCTCATAGACCTGACTCATACCTAGGCAGGCTCATAGACCTGACTCATACCTATGCAGGCTCATAGACCTGACTCATACCTAGGCACGTTCATAGACATGACTCATACCTATGCAGGTTCAGTAGACCTGACTCATACCTAGGCAGGTTCAATAGTCCTGACTCATACCTAGGCAGGTTCAGTAGACCTGACTCATACCTAGGCAGGTTCAGTAGACCTGACTCATACCTAGGCAGGTTCAGTAGATCTGACTCATTCCTAGGCAGGTTCAGTAGACCTGACTCATACCTAGGCAGGTTCAGTAGACCTGACTCATACCTAGGCAGGTTCAGTAGACCTGACTCATACCTAGGCAGGTTCAGTAGACCTGACTCATACCTAGGCAGGTTCAGTAGACCTGACTCATACCTAGGCAGGTTCAGTAGACCTGACTCATACCTAGGCAGGTTCAGTAGACCTGACTCATACCTAGGCAGGTTCGGTAGACCTGACTCGTACCTAGGCAGGTTCGGTAGACCTGACTCGTACCTAGGCAGGTTCGGTAGACCTGACTCGTACCTAGGCAGGTTCGGTAGACCTGACTCGTACCTAGGCAGGTTCAGTAGACCTGACTCATACCTAGGCAGGTTCAGTAGACCTGACTCATACCTAGGCAGGTTCAATAGACCTGACTCATACCATGGCAGGTTCAATAGACCTGACTCATACCATGGCAGGTTCAATAGACCTGACTCATACCTAGGCAGGTTCAATAGACCTGACTCGTACTAGGCAGGTTCATAGACCTGACTCGTACTAGGCAGGTTCACACGCCTACTGCCTTATACTAGGCGAGTCCATAAACCAATTGGCTCGTACTAGGTAGATTCATAGACCTGGATCATACTAGGAGGGTTCGTAGACCAATTGGCTCATATTAAGCAGGTTCATAGACCTAGTTTATACTAGGCAGGTTTATATAAAAAATGGTTCACATTAGGCAGGTTCATAGACTATCTGGCTTATACTAGGCATGTTTATGGACTTATCGGCCCATAGTAGAATGGTTCATAAACACCAGTTGGCTCATACTAGGCAGGTTCATAGACCTACTGGCCCATACCATTCATGTTCTTAGACCCGCTGGTCTATAGTAGGCAGGTTCATAGACCTGATCATGCAAGACAGGTTCACAGGCCTGGTTCACATCAGGCAGATTCACGGACCTACCAGCCCATACTAGGCAGTTCCATAGACCTACCGGCCCATACTAGGCAATTCCATAGACCTACTGGCCCATACTAAGCAGGTCCATAGACGTATTGGCCCATACTAAGCAGGTCCCTTGACCTATTGGCTGATACTAGACAGGCTCACAGCCCTACTAGTTTATACTCACTATAGCACTTAGATGCGCATGTTGAGTTGACCCTTGTGCTTATGACGCTGATAGTAATTTAATCTGGCTTCAGTGACAGGCGCGCTAGCTAGTCAAGCCCACTGAAGCTTCTAGGTCGTATATACAAGGAGAGGCATATCTTTGTATATATATATTTATTGTACCCCGAGTGGTGTATATATGTAATATACACCGAGAAGTTTATCTTTCAGTGTATATACACAGAGTCGTCTGTCTCAATGTATATATATACTTAGCGTTTAATTTTTATTGACCCAGACTATGTGGTGATCAATGAGTATTACTGAAACTCAGAACCAGGTCTAGACACTTCGACATATAAAAAGACAAGTTACTAGAGCCGGGAGCGTACCGGCGAATCGAGGAGGAGAGGTGTGTACAAATACATACTCACGCTCACATGCACACACGCACTCATGCGCAAATGAGATGACTAAATGCTCCTGAATATGTACACACGCACTTCTGTAGGAACATAGTGTTAACGCAGGCGTGCATTAGTGTGCACATTTACATAGTGAAGATACACATGCTTATACTAGTGTACACACAACTAGTATACACGTACATTAGTGTACAATAGTGTAAGCACATATATGCTTACATAGTGTACGTACTCGTATATTTACACTAGCGTACACGCCATGCATACATTACTGTACACACTAATGCTTACCCTAATGTACAGACGCACACATGCGGGTTCAATCCCGGCCGGGGGTATGGTTTGCACACATGCATATGTTAATGTACACACGCACTTATATACAGTCATGCACACATGTACACAATCATGTGCATGAGTATGAAACTTTGCAAACCAATTCGTTTATGGGCTTAAGTTATTATATTAACTGGAAAGAGTTAAACCCTACGAGTCTAGGTTTTTCCGTACAGCTCTCTGGGAATGGGAAGTTCCCTGAGATCTGTATGGTGCGTTCGGCTCCCTAACGAAAGACCTGGGTTCAGTCTAGGGCGGCACAATAAATAAGAATTTTTTGCCAGCATCGAGGAGTGGCAGTGTAGACCAGTAGGCAAGAGAGATTGCATAAATGGGGAGAAATCAGAATGGGGACACGTCACAAGTGGTGTTCCACTGGGGTCAGCATTGGTCCCTTCATTGTTCACGGTATACGTACTACAGAAACAAATTTGAAGGAATAAATGCGACATAAACAAGTGTGCTGGTAACACTAAAATAAGCCGTCAGATTCTGATGACAAGAGAGCGCTACAGGATCAGAATAAGTTGACGTAGTCGAGTACTGGCAGATGCAGATTTTGGACAAATGTAAGATTCTAATCCTGGATAAAGAAAATAACCGTTTCACTAACTAAATAATGTACAGCTGAATTAAACTGATGCAAAAAGATTTAGGTGTTATAGTTAGCAGTTATCCAAAACCAAGACGAGGAAAAGTCACAATACCGTGGCTGGGACAAGTCACCAAAAATTTGCACTTAGAGAGGAGCCTTGTCACAGTGATGAATTAGACACTTGTGCAACACTTGAATATCGTTTGTGTGGAAACATTTCGACGATCAGGAGATGCATTCTCCAGTTATTGCTCAGAAACCAGTTTAATAAAATTGGCAGATTATAAATAATGTACACGATAAAAATCGATGCGAAGCTTCATATGAGAATAACACATCAGAACTAAAAGTTTTAAGCTGATACAGGGACATATTCTACAGTTATTGCACAAAATCCAATAATTTCAGGTTTATTAACCATGTAGATAAATGGTTCAGAGAACCGACAAGTTGATAAATTAGACACGTGTAACACTTTGGTACCTATATTAAGGAAACGTTTCGCCACACAGTGGCTTCATCAGTCCATACAAAGGAGAATGGCGAAGAAGAAGAGAGAGGTTATCAGTCCCTCAGCCTTGAGTCGATGTAATCAGTATTCTTTTCAAGATTGATGGACTGATTACATCAATTCAAGGCTGAGGGACTGACTACCTCAAACTACTACTCCTCTTCACCATTCTCCTTTGTATGGACTGATGAAGCCACAATGTGGCGAAACGTTTCCTCAAAGATACCCAAGTGTTGCACATACGTTTATTTATTAACCATGTTAGTAAATTGGAAAATTTGTATCTGTACAGCTTAAACCTTAGGTATCGTCCTTTTCATAAGATGCGTCAGCCATTAAAGATGGAAGTCATTCTGAAGTGGTATACTAAAGTTGTTTCATAGAAAACAATATCATACCAATAAGCAAGTAATCAAACCTTTTTCGTAGGATACACCCGGTGTTGGAAATTTTGAGCCCCATCAGAAGGGCTTTCCCAAGTTATCGCATAGAAATCAGAATCGGGATTGTCTATATAAAATTAACCAGTTGTCACCCACACATGCCAATAGTTGCATGAAATTTTCTGTAGTTGCAGTATATTAGCATCGAAAGTTTGAAGCTGATCGCTAAATTAGTATGCACCTCGTACTCGTTCTGTAGGCGGTAGTCAGAGTTACAGAGGCAGATACTGGGTCTGCACCGAACCCCACATTTGTTAGCTGAGCAAGTTCCAATGATAGTGAACCGTTTAAAAATTTATAGAGTTCAGAACAATAGTAATGAATTTCCACAATCATGAAGTCAGTGACAAAAACAGTACACTATGGTTATATGTGGTTAAGAGCTATTTACAGTATATATTTAGCAAAATATGATTGTTTACACTAATCAAAGTCAGGGTATTTTTCTAAAATATTTGTCAGTATGCCACTTGAGGATAAAATACTCGGACATTTTTCGATTTTTTTTCAGTTGTCTCTGAAATATTGTTTTTTCTCGCATTCCAGCACATGATGATGCAAGGTGTGATAATGGTTCCTCTGGCAAAATTTACATTTAGTTAGGTCTTCATCAGCTGGTGGTGAAAACTGCTAGAGGTACCTGTAGCCCAGCCGAAGCTGAGCAGAATCGGCATCCAAGAATCTGCTGATTTTTGTTGCCTGTGCCATAGGCATTTCGCTCCTGGATGGGGCAGTTTCAAATTCTAAACAAAAACCTTCGAGTAAAAATCAGGCAACCATAACTGATTCGACGTAGTTTTTTTTTAGTCGGAGAGTAGCAAGAATGAATCGATACACCCAGCATGCAACAACGTTTGTCTCATTTTCAGTGCTTATACTCCCAGAAATACCGAGTTCAGTATTTCTGGGTGTGAAGACATAGGAGGCTTTGTGTTAATGTAGGCTTGACTGAGACAAAATAATTTATTAAGCAATCGTGCGAGTACCTAGGAATGCCTGTTCTATTATTTTGCTAGATTAATACATTAATTCCACTGTGATAGTGTAGAACAGAAATTCCATTGTAGTAGGCTAGACGAATTCCGCTTTACTAAGGTAGAACACGACCTCCTCAGGAATTAATTCACGCCTTGGCATTACCGGGAAAAAAACAGTACAGGGAGGAAACCATAGGTATTCTAAGTGTCATAGTACTAGCATTGGTGCCTCTTCACCTCGTGACATATGTGGCAGGAAAGTGGTCTGGTCTCTTCTTGAAAACTACCTCTCTTTTTACAGCATTTTTTTTTTGTTTCTGATATCAGTATCAGGTTGCAGAGTTTTCTTGTCACACAGTACCGAAGAAAACATAGGTACTGCAATATTGCCATAGTATCAGAAGGCAGCATTAGTCACACAGTACCCAAGAAAACATAGGTACCCCTTCCTTATAGTATCAAGAAGCAGCATTTGTACCCCACACAGTGCCCTCGAAATCCTGCTTTGCACAGTTACAGAGATCCAGCTGGGTGAGTACAAGTGTCTGGCTGAGTGTGCACGGATCGTTGTTGTGTGAGGGTTCATGTGTACTGGCTGCTGCGTCAGTGGACCACCGACCTTGGGTGTGGCGCCCCCAAGCCCCGCTAGACCCCCCCTAGAACACTCCACAACC